GCTCAAGAGAAAATACAGATCTGTTCTCTAACATTAACTGCAGTGAACTCCAACTATTATCAACTTGTCCCTCAGGCTTTTTTAATTATTGCAATCTTGTTAGCATAAATCAATGACTTAAAATCCTGTTGAAAGCATTTAGTTAGGAGCTGAAATGGTGGGTTTTTTATGCTGTAAATCGGTAACTTTGTACAGCCATATAAGTTAATAGAAAACTCTGGTACAAGCCAAGTGACCTCAGGCTTTTACAACTGAAAGTCTCTTGATTGAATAGATCCCTGTAATTGGTGTTTTCTGTATGCTGTGCATGGGGGACATGGGTTGCAAATCATTTCCACTTAACAGCTCTTCAGTCACTGAAGATTCAGTGCACAGATATTATATTGTGCTGTCATACAAACATGCATAAACAGGAGCGTGCCCACAGGCCCTTTTAAAACTCCACTGAAAGCATGATCCAAGAGCCAAGTAAATTAAGTGGGAGACCCACTGTTCCACTCAACAGACATGACACCCATGGTTTGCCAGGGCAAAGCTTGCTTTAACACTGTTCCTGTTGTACATGTACAAGTATTTGGAGCAAAGGTCAATTGGAAACCCAGAGTTTAGGGGCAATGCCTCATGCAAAATACATGGTTGTCCAAGTATGAGCCCATTTCTCTCCTGCTGATCTGGAGATGCCTGGAATCCAAGCACTGTGGTCCTCCTGATTGTAAGAGGGTGAATTCTGCCAACCTGCCTACCAGGACAAAGGGACTGGCTTTTCTGTCACCCTACATCACATTTTGCTTTCTTGGCCTGATTCTGCATCAGACGGTGTGGGTGACTGTATCTAGAGACATAGAGAGGAGCCATTTTGTTGCTGTTTTGCAGCAGAAGTTCACAGAACAATCATTTTGGTTTTCCAAATAAATGGAAATGCAAAAACTATTGGGCAACACCACTTGCACCTCATTCTGACCTCTGTTAGCGTTGTGTAGCTTAATTGACTGCAGTGAACTTCCTAGGGAGACTGTTATGTAACCAGCTGGCATTCAGCACAAGCAGGCAGTCCTTGCAATGATGACATGAGCAAAGCTCAGGAAACAGGACGATACCCACGGGGGCTCTCCTGGAAGCTTAGGGCTGGGAATGAGAAAGGGACCTTGGTGACAGGAGTGGGTTGGGGGCATGTGCCTGACATCCAGCCAGGGATGGCCCAGCTCCGTAGAAGGAAGGATAGGGCTTTGAGGGGCCCAATTCTTTCTTCTGTGGAGTTCTTGTATCCCTGCTGCTCAGTGGAAGCCTTCTGAGCTGCCTGGTATGTCTTGCTGGTTGCTGCTGGTGCCAAGCCCTGGCAAGAGATGCCAGGCAGCCCAAGAGACTTGTGCTAGGCAGTAGCCTGATCTTTCCTTCCATGGGGTGCTCGTGTCCCTGCTGACAGCTCAGAGCAGCTGAGCACCCAGCAAGTGCCAGCTCATCACCCTGTGAGAGGCGGTTAATGGGAGAGGGGGGCACAAATGCATTTGGGATGCTGGTGGGCAGTCACCTAAGATGAATCAGGAGGGGATCTGGTACTGAAGTTCGATAGACTGGTTCAACATAAATCAGTTAAATCATCTGATGCTACATTGGTCCAGGTCTATCTTGGGTTGGGATCCACCATTTTTAAACTAGTCTATGTGCTCTGAATGTCTGTTCTATTATGGGTATAGACTGGTTTCCAAACACCTAAACCAGAAAAAGTGTAATGTCTGCACCTGGCTTAGGTGGCAGGGAACCAGGGAAGGGGCTGCTTCCAAAGCATGAGCTGTGGACAAATGACCACTGTGCCACTACAATTGTACTCCTCTTTTTTTTCCAGAATAACTCTTCCCTGGATTCAAGTAATTATTCAAGTAAAGCTGAATGTTATGTATCCATTCCTTTGTTTGTTTTAAACATGAGTGTAAATGCTAATTTTCATCAACCCAAAGGGACCGCCCTGCTTAGAAAGATGCAGGATGGCCAGGGTGAGGATGAATTTATACCCAGCATTGGTATAGACCTTGTAAAGGAATATGTTGAGAGGCTGGACACCTTCAAGTCAGCTGGTCCTGACAGATTGCACCCCAGAGTACTTAAGAAGCTGGCAGGAGTCATAGTTCAGCCACTGGCAAAGATTTTTGAAAACTCCTGCCTCTCAGGTGAAGATCAGAAGAAGGCCAATGTGGTGCCTATCTTCAAGAAAGGGAGGAAAGTAGATCCAGGGAACTACAAACCAATCAGCTTGACCTCAATCCCTGGAAAGATTCTGAAAAAAATCATCAAAGGGACCATTCTCAACAAGCTGGCTGATGGCAACATTTTGAGGGACAGCCAGCATGGGTTTGTTGCGGGTAGGTCTTGCCTGACCAATCTCATTTCCTTCTATGACCGGGTGACATATTACCTGGACAAAGGAGAAGAGATTGACATCACATATCTGGACTTTAAAAAAGCCTTTAATCTGGTGTCCCATGATCTCCTCTTGGAAAAATTGGCCAACTGTGGCCTCGGCTACATCACAGTCCAGTGGCTGGGGAATTGGCTCTGAGGCTGGACTCAGAGAGTGGTGGTCGATGGAAGTGGATCATCATGGTGCTCTGTGACCCGTGGTGTCCCCCAAGGCTCTGTCCTTGGACCTGTTCTTCTTAATGTCTTTATCAATGATGTGGATACTGGTGTCAGAAGTGGACTGGCCAAGTTTGCTGATGACACCAAACTTTGGGGTAGAGCGTCCATACCTGAGGATAGGCTGGTGATCCAGGCTGATTCGGATAGGCTGAGAAAGTGGGCAGATACAAACCTGAGGACATTCAATACCGACAAATGTAAGGTACTCCACCTTACATTTGGAGTACATGGGGGAAAAAACCCTGCAGCATGCTTATAGGCTCGGCAGTGTTATGCTCGCAAGCACCAAGGCCAAAAGAGACTTGGGGGTCATGACTGACCACAAGATGAACATGAGCCATCAGTGTGATGTCGCAGCTGGTAAAGGAAACCAAACTCTGGCTTGTATCCATAGATGCTTCTCAAGTAAATCTCAGGATGTCATCCTCCCCCTGTACTCGGCCTTGGTGAGGCTGCAGCTGGAGTACTGAATCCAGTTCTGGGCTCAACAATTCAACAAGGATGTGGAGAAGCTTGAGAGAGTCCAGAGGAGAGCCACATGCATAATCAGAGGACAGGAGAATAGGCCTTATGCAGAGAGGCTGAGAGCCATGGGACTCTTCAGCCTGGAGAAGTGCAGGCTCAGGGGTGACCTGATGGCAGCCTATGAGTACATTGGGGTGTGCATCAGGATCTGGGGGAACATCTGTTCACTGGAGCACCTCAAGGGATGACAAGGACCAATGGTCACAAACTCCTCCAAGACCTTTTAGGTCGGACATAAAGAAAAATTTCTTTACTGTCTGAGTCCTCAAAGCCTGGAATAGGCTCCCTCCAGAGCTGGTGCAAGCACCTACTCTGGACTCCTTTAAGAAGCATTTGGATGCTTATCTTGCTGGGATCCTTTGACCTGCCCTGACTTCCTGCCCTTGGGGCAGGGGGCTGGACTTGATCTCCCTTCCAGCTCTAATGTCTATGAAATCTATAATTACACAGGTGTAGTTGTGTGCCCAAGGCTTTAGGACCTGTTCCCTAATTTAGTCACATAGTGAAACCTCCCATCTTGCCTTCCTTCTGTCTGGGCACCTCATACACATGATATGCAGCTAGCTTGTATTGCAACATTGATATCTCTGTGGGGATGTGCTTTATAGCAAAAAGCACAAAGTACTGCTGTGTCTAGCATTGCCCAGTAAAATAGTGAAAATTATTCAGGGGAGACTTGGCATATGCAATAAGAAGCAAACATTCACAGCACAGGGAAGCTGGGGACATTGAACCTTGTTAAATTTTTATATAAAACTGTAGTCACATGACCCTGTCATTGCTGTGTGAGCTGGTATGTGGTTTAAAAGTAACACATGCATGGCTATACAGTCTAGCAATATTTGGGATAGCACCCTTCAAACTGTGTCCCCATGTGCCCTCCTGGAGTAATTACCTAAGCATTATAGAGACTTGAGAGGTATTATAGACATGAAAGACAAATGATTTCTGAAGAGATTGGAAAATACAGGGTGAACTGAGTAGGCTGAGGAGAACATGTTTCAGCTGTTAAAACTACAAGAGAAATTGTGTGGGTTTTTTTTATTTACTTTGTTTTTTGTTTTTGTTTTTTGTCCCAACAACAGAGATTGTGTGCTAAGAAAAAGAGGGTATTGGAAAAGAAGAGACCATGAGACTGGCAGTAGGGTAAAACTTGGGCCATATTTTCTACTAGTATAAATAAAAGCCAGAGGAGCTGATGTAGATCTACATTTTAAAAATGAGGGGGTCAATTCTGATCTGAACTGCAAAATAAATGCTAAGTCAGCTGAAGTGTTTGAAGAAGGGTACAGTGTGGCTTTGTGTACCCTTTCGTAAAGGACAGGTGGGTGATGAGGTCATCTGTGGTAGTCAGGTACTCAGCAATAAGTGTGATCCAGCCTTCATGATGAGTCCATCGCTAACACTGTCTAAGTATATGCACATTGTTTAACCCATTCACCAGTAACTACAGCAAATATCACAGTTGATTAACACAGTCTTCCATTTCACAGTTTGACTTTACCTTCTAACAACAAGGGAAAGGCTGTAAGGACCTCCCATCTCATCCAGAATATTCAAAGCTTATGATGGTGTGATTATACTGTTTTTGTGTTGCTCCTTAGATATCACCTTAATATCTAAGCACTATTCACCACAAGCAGTCTGCCCAGCACAGAAGTTCTGCTGTTCCTACAGGCTCTGTCTATGGAAACTTCCAACTTCAACATAATAAAGATCCAGAAACTCCTTTCCTCTGTCATCCCTTCCAAAGACTTGATATTCCATCCTGCAACTGGTATCACATCTGCTGTGTGGCAGCCACAAAGCCAGTAGGTACCTGTTATCAGGGAAAGCTGGCCATTGAAGTATTCTCCCATCCCATGTGCTGCCTGGAGCCATAGTAAAGGAGAAGTGATTGTTGCAGCAGGAGTTGCTGCTTTAGCTATGTCTACATGGCATACTTGCCGAGCACAGCAGAATCTCTCACAAACATAGGCCCAGTGCTGTATAGGCTGTTTCTGGACTAGAAGCAGTGTAGCCATGTCTGGATTGGCAGTGTCACTAATTACCTAGCCTGAAGCACTAAGTAGATGTGGCTACACCTTTCAGTTCAGGAAGTAGTCTGTGTGCATGGCATTTTATATCTGAGGGTGCCTCTGCCCATCACACTAAGCTTGAGTTACTATCAGGGGCTTCTGTGGAAGAGCAGGAGCAGTGCAATAGTAATGCAAGACTTTGAGCCCTTGTGGGAGTAGTTGAGAGAGATTCTCCCACAATGCTCCTAAACACTAGCAGCTTGGGTGAAGGGATGAGCCAATGTGGGGGTGGGGGCAGTTAAGAGGCCAGCCCACTAGAACATGGGGGTGCAATATCTGCTCTGTAGTTGCTAGTTCTCCTAGTGTCTCAAAAAGTACAACTTAACCAATGTTAGCATCACCTGTAACTGCTCAGCTTTTTGTAATTTCACAGAAAACATACCTAGGAGTTCAGCAAAGAGATAGCATGTCCAAAGGTGGTCTAATGCATTGTTTGATTAGAAGATTATTAGGAACATAATGAATTTTCAGTTTGAAAATAACATCAAGAAAGCTCCCTTTCTGTTAATGGGCAGAGCAGTGGAAATAAGCATTAAACCTTGGTTTTTTTAGTAATAATAGAAATATTTGAAATGAGTTAATCAAAGCTGTAGCAACGGAAAATTTTATGTGAAACAAATGTGTTTTGACATTCTAATTCTCTATAAGATCAGAGTCCTCTTTCTAACACACACACTGCCATTTAGTTCAGCCAAATTCAGATGCTCCTGGCACTCTAACCTTCTCAGAACATTATGCCAGCTGTCATTTTTCAGATGAAAGATGTTCTGACATATATGTGTTTGCTCACACACTAACCAGAGGGCAAGAAGGGTAGCTTTGTAGGTACAGTGCTGAGCTGTAGATGCTGGAGGTCTGGGTTCAACTCCTGAAGTTTTTACAGATTTCCTGTATGACCTTGGGCAAGGTATTCAAGCTGTCTCTGTTCTGTCTCCATTCTCTGTAGTGGACTTTTGTGACCCATGTTCTGGCTCTTTTGTTGTCTAGGCAGTGTATCCAGGGAGGGATGTTCATGAACACCTCCTGACCTCTTGCTTCCATGTATAGCTGTATTTACTCAAATACAAGACAAGGCTTTCCCCCCCCCCAGATTTAACATGGGGGGGAGCCTTGTCTTAGATTTGAGTACAGGCATAGGGCAGGTGGCTGCTGTGGCTCATGCTTGGGCTCCAGGCTGGAGCTGTTGCCACCGTTGCTGTATGGCTTGGTTGGAGTGGCTTGTGCAGTGAGGGAGGGCACAGGGAATACCGTGCAGTGTGGGAAGGAGGTGGTGTATGAGGGAGGAAATGAGGGGGAGACTGTATTATATGGTGGTGAGGGGTCCCAGGTGAGACGCCCACTGCATAATATCCCCCAAGTTCTCCCCCCTGCCCCCTCCCCTGCCACACAAGCCACGCAGGCCTGGCCATGCAGCAGTCAGGAGGGAGCATGGGGGAAAAGTGTGCACTGGTGGGGGAGCTGCTGTGGCTCTGGCTCCAGCCCCCATCTGAGACCCAAACTGTCGCTGCTGCTGCTGCCTGGTCACACCGGGACTCAAGCTGGAGCTGGAACCAGAGCTGTCCCACAGGGTAAGCAGGAGCTGCGGGGTGGGGGCGGGGGATTAGAAGGGAGGACAGGCAGTAGGCATGGGGAGGCAAAGGGTTGGGGCTGGCTGGCTGGCTGCCTCCCTGCTGCTGTGGAAGGAGGGACAAATTTAAGAAGACCCTCCAATAATTGTATTCTACATGGGAAATCATAACAGATTTATAATTTTCCATGTAGCCATAGAAGCTAATTGTTGGGGGGTTGTCTTAAATTCATAGCAGTCTTGGATTTTTGGAAATAAGGTAAATCTGTAGGAAAGATAAAGGTTGTTCCCACACTTTACAGACAAGGGCCGTGCTGTGCAGGGCATTGTACAAACACAGAGACAAATCTTGCTCTCTCAGACAAAGGGTAGAGGAGGGAACAGAGGTGCAGAGTGCTTTGCCTCAGGTCAAACAGCAGGTCAGTGATAGAACCAGGAACGAAACCCAGGCCTTGTGAGTGTTTGGGCCCATTGCCACTCATTTTATTTTTGTGTGTGTGTAAGCTTTTCAAACCAGGGACTGTCCCTTACTAGGTCTATGTACAGTGCCCAGCAGAGCAAAGGTACTATAATACCAATCATAAACAGTACTAATAAAACAGCTGATCAAATCCTGACCATTAAATCCAATATCCAGTTTAACATGAGAGAGAGAGGCTCTATTTACACCAGGCAGGAACCATGGGCATCTGCAACATTTCCCCCTTTCCCTTCCCTGGCCATAGTTCCTTTTGAGGCTCTCATTTACCAATGCCAGCTGTTCAGCTAAAGCTGACTGTCTCGAACTCCCTGCAGAGCTCTGTACTGGCCAGAGGAGTCACTGTTGGCCTGTGCAACGCACTCTGGCCCATAGGCTGCTTGCATCTTTCAAATTCCTTCTCAATCCTTATTTACTTCAGGGAGCCCAGAAGCACGTAGGGTGACTGTTTTAGCTGGGACAGTCCTGGATTTCAGAGGTTGGTCCTGGCTGGCTGTTGGGAATTATAATGGGCATCCCAAAAATGGAGGGGCATGGGGCACAGTCTGGCCAGGAATTGGAGTATTGCTGCCTGCCCAGCATGCAGCCCCATGCCCAATGACCTGTGGAGCTTGGGGTGGGGGGAGCAGCGTCCTGGATTTCCTGGGTGATGTTCTGGATTTCAGGGATTTCCATATGGTCAGCCTAGTGCTAAGCCAAAATCAAGCATCCACATAAGGGGAAAAGCCTCCCTACCATGGAGTCTTCCTCTCCTTTTCCCATGGCAGCATTCTCTGTTGTCTGCATCAGGGACAAGGTCTTCTGCCTTGTATGGTGCTGAGCACGCTGTACATGTTTGGTGTATAATAACTTATTTTTGTTGATGATGAATCTGCCAGCCAGCTACCTCCTGCAATTGGGATGAGTTACATGGGGAGAATTGGGACTGCAAGTGAAGGAAATGTTTTTATTTGTATTTCATTAAAAAAAACCCTGTACTTTAAGGATTCCTCTGGTCTTCAGCTTTTGTAAAAGCTTGTGTTTGTGTGTTTTAAATAGTTCATTTGTGTATTTTAAATGAAGTATCTCTTTTTGGTTTCCTGTGAAACTTCACCCATTGCTTCACTTAAGCATAACCTAATGAAACAGGAATCCAGCTGAGTGGAGTTAATCATACATGCCCTACTGGAAGTGTGACCTGATGGATCTCCCCTGGAGTCCTGTGACACCCTCTAAAAGTGTCTCATCTCATCAAGCACATCTTAAAGGGACCGTCTCCTTCAGGCTTTGGAAGAAAAAGTACTTCTTCCTAAAAGGGACTTTCATTAATTTAAAAGAAATTTAAAAATAAAGTTGTGAGTGCTAGTCAGAGTTGCCAAAACAATGTTATGTTTGGATAGCTAGGATGGGGGAGGGGAGGGGGTTAAGTGCAATTTTATTAAGCAGAACTATATGCAAAGGAGGCTGGGTCGGATTTGCTTGCTTTTAAACACATGTACCTCAAACAGCTACAGCATCCCTACCCCTGTTAAATCTGGAAAAAGCCAAGAATGAAGTAAAGGACCTAGGCACCACGGAAGATAGCCTGTTATTATCTGTAAAATGCCTTTCATCATACTCTTTAGGTGCACTTCAGGCCTGATCAAAAGCCCTTTGAAGTCAATGAAAAGAATCTCATTGTCTTCAGTGAGCTGTGGATCAAGTTCCTTTTTTCCATATCTTGCATTATATGAAAAATAACCGTTCCCTCAAAATTAGGACTATTTACATTGAGAATTACCTTGTCAAGTCTCCTGGGCCCTAATCTTTCAGTGAATTTCTTGGGTGTGGAGCCCTGCCAGTATTCACCATGGGTTTGAATAGGGCACTGGAGGTTTAGAGGTTCACTTGCATTATGGTTATTGCAAAGTTGGGGCTGAATTTCTGGTCTATATTTCATGCTACAGCACTTCATGTTTCCCTGTTTGTCACAAAGGGATAGAAACAATGTGAAATTATACCTGCACCAATAAGGTAAGATGTCAGTATCTTTTTCTTGAACTATAACTTCATAGCTTGTGGTAACTGTATAACCCCGAGCTATTTCAGATAGTTGATTATAAAAATGAAGTAGAGCCTACACAGCACTGTTCTCAGCAGGCTGCTTTATTGGACTGTTGACAAAGCAAAATGACAGTGTTTTCATTTAGGCCATCAGAAATAACCGTTGAATTCAAAAAGCATTATCTTATGAGCAGTAGCTCCTTGTTGCCTGCTGTCATCTACAATGGTAACAATAAACAGGTGCGTTGTCTTGCAAACAAGTCCTGTTTTGAACAGCATAGAAAAGTCTGCATCATTTCCCAAATCAAAGCTGGCTTCACAAAACCTAGACCAGGGGGTGGCAATGTTTTTGGGCAAAGTGCCAAAAATACCCACAAGCTCGACTAGTAAGTTGTTGGTGTGCCAGGGGTGGATGGCAGGGGAGCCATGAGGGGCCTGATCCTTGTTGTGGCAGTGCAGCCCTGCCACCTTCCCCAAGGCATGTGTGCCAAGCAAAATCCCTTCACGTGTCATGCTCTGGCATGCGTGCCGGGGTTGCCTACCCTTGGTCTAGATTATTTCAGGAAGAGATTTCAGGCTTCATTCCTAAAACATGCCATGGCAAACAGTAAACAAATTCTCAGAGGTAGGATATTCAGGGAGGCAGAGGAGATCTGAAATGTTGGGCTGAAACCCCTATATAACACTCTCAAAAACCAAGTCAGTGCCCACTGGGCAACATAATGCCTGAACTACTTGGGATCATGGGACTGGAAGAAATTCTCGGTCACTGAGAGTGTATCTACATATGCAATTAATGCAGAGCAATAAACTCTGGCACGTGTTGCACCAGAGCTGATTGTTCCTGTGTGCCATGTTTGAATGTGTGCCTGGGGACTGTAACATCTTGAGCCGGATCGGAGCAGCCCCAGCTGACATGGAGTCTGGGGGTCAGCCTGCCAGCCTGGGACTGCTCTGACCCAGCTCAGTCTGCTGCGGAGGGGCTGGCTGGGGCATGAGTGTGCTTCATTGTGGGCTTGCTGGCAGTTAGCCTCTGCACTGAAGCACCCTCATGCCCCAGCCAGCTCTGTCAGCATCTACCTGTGTATTGCTGTGGAGTAAAAATCTCCGTCTTAGGATAGTACTTGTGTTTACAAATCATAACCTACTACAAAGTTAATTAGTTTACTCTGTCCTAATAACACTGCTCATGTAGATGCTGAGTCATTTACTGAAAAGCTAATTGGGCAACGCTGCAGTAAATGTCTTGTGCAGACATGGCCTGTGGGTAGTTACTGCAGGCATCACATCATATAACCCCTTCATAAACTGATCAAGATCCATCTTAAAAAATGTTAGGCTTTTGCCTACTCACTACTCCTGTTGAAAGACTGTTTCAAAACCTAGCTGCTCAAATGGTGACGAATCTTATAGCTTAAACTTACTCCTGGCTAGATTCAATCCACTTGCTCTCTTGTCAATATTGTGTTCTGGAGATGAAGGCTGAGAAGGGAATATGATATCAGACCATGCTACTGGGTGCTGCTTTCAAAACATGAGCCATCTTCTCACTCCTGCTTTGTGTGGGCAGAATTCAAGAAATCTTGTAGCTATTTATTAGGACAGGTCTAGGACACACCAACACTATCTCAAGACTTGGGTGTGCTCCTAAAATGGCACTAGACTCTAACACTATGTACATGACTTTTTATTTAAAGCATATGGTGCACACAGTGAGCTGGAATGTGTTTTCATGGCAATGTGTCAGACAGTGGGAATGTGTCCATAAGGTCTGATGGTGAATGTGTACGCCCATTGGTGAGCACAGGTGCAGTTAATCTAATTGATTTCAGGGCAACTACTCATGCAATTAATTACTCACCAGTGAGGATAAGAGCTTTGCAAGCTGGCCCCTTTCTGTTTGTGAAATTTTAAATGCATTGCAAGTAGTGCAACTCTTAAGCTTCAGGTGAAGCTTTAAGACTGCATGGGCAGATAAGATTAGAAGAAGACAACAGCTATCTGGACTCCACTGTAACTCTTGGAAGATATCAGGAAATGTTTTCTTAGCAATGCTGACATATACATGTAATGGTTTGAAATAGCAAAGATGGACACAATACTTGGCTGTGTATCAAATTTATGAACTGACTAGGCCTGCATGTGTTTAGACTGTAAATACTGTTGGGCAAAGGAAATCATGTGACTGACCTCTTTACTTGACAAGAGTAGGTTTGGGAATAGTGTGGGATATCTCAGGGGCAGTATGTGCCTTTAATGTCTGAGATTTCATTTACCTCTACAAAACAGGGTTTTTACCTCTTCTTTGGTAGTTATTGGCAACACCAAACAAACAACACTTACAGTGGAGATAAATACACAGATAAATCTCCCTCCACAGTGAGCTCTTCTAAAACAAAGCCAGAAGTGCAGTGTTTGCTATGGCTCTGTTTGCATGCTAAACAGAGACAAAGCAATCGCATAGAAAATCTCAGCTGTTTAATACATGTACTAATTTGATTTGTTTCCCTTTGCCTCTGTTCCCTTCCCCCACCCAGACTGTTCCACTATCCTGGTTGTCTCAACTCAGACTGGTAACACCAGCTAATCTGATTAGTTCTGACACACAGAAAAAAGGCTGCTGGGAAAAGCTGGACCCTTATAGCTGTTTCAGGCTTCAGCTTTGATCAGTACATTATGGGTCATGTGAACATATAGTGCAGCATGACAGATGCTGAGGCACTAGGCACATCAGGACACCACGTGGACATCACTGATCCACAAGTTCTACCCTGTGTCTGAAACCATATGAATATGAACCATGTTTTGCATCATATTCAATGTGGTGACAGGGGAAGTTACCTTCACCTTGGCCACTTGCTCCTCCATCACATGGAAGGTAAACACAGAAATGTAAATTAAAGCTGAAGGAACTGAAAGGACTGGAAATGTATATCTTGAGCCTGTGCATTAGCTTACCCACTACTGAGTTAGTGGACTGTGTTACTCAATATTTTGATTAGGGGTATATAATTATCAGATAATTATTAGAATTATCAATTATCCTGACATCCAGCTCTCTGTTGTTTTTTATACTTTTATTATTGAAAAGTTCTTAAGAAGTTTGCCTCAACACAGGAATGAAATTCAATTTCTAACATGAGGGAAGGTTCTTTGAATAGATATGATATCTTTTATTAGACCAACTGAGTAGTTGGAAAAAAGTTCTTAGCAAGCTTTCAGGTGCAATCACTCTTCTTCCTATGCCTGAAGAAGGGTGATTGCACCCAAAAGCTTGCTAGTAACTTTTTTTTAACTACTCAGTTGGTCTAATAAAAGTTATCACACATCTACTCAAACAACCTAGCCTGCCTATGTCCTTACACCAACACGACTACAACCAAAAACCCAGTAACATGAGGAAATGCTCAAAGTTGGATACCCAGAGGCTGCTTAACCCCAGCAAGGAGGGGATAGTTGGGGAAGTCTCTTTTGGGTTTTTGCCTGATTTGGGGAGATGTTAGAGTTCATAAACTTACTTTTTTCTTGAGCAATGGAAACATGAAATGGGATTCTCATCCCCCTATACAGAACTGAAGGAGGGAAATGATGCATTAGCTCAAAAGGGAGTTTCCACAGCATTTGGCAGAGGCCTTGTTTGGAGAAATGCTTTCAACCATGCCAGCTTCTTAGTCAATGAGTAGGGACTTACGAAATTAATGGCAGGAGTGGGGTGTATGTATCCTTTAATCTTGCAAGTTCCCCTGGGCGCCCCTGCACCATTGATTGGCGGAGGGGCCCCACTGCTTGCCACTTGCTCCTGATAGGCAGGGAAGCAAAAACCACAGTTTTAAATATGGCACCATTTTTGCTTCTTGCTGCTGATTGGCTGAGAGGCTCTGGCAGCCACGGTGTTTGTTGCTGACTGGCTGGGAGGCAAAAACAGAACCATGTTTAAAACCATGGTTTTTGCTTCCCCACTGATCAGGAGAGAGCGGGGAGTGGTGGTGCCGGGCAGGGAAGAGCATGTGGGGGAACCTTCAAAATAAAAGGAGCTGCTGCACGTGGCAGGCCAGTAGCCGGCACTCCTGCACTGAGCCACTTGCCTCACTGTGCCTGACAAAAAAAACCAAGCCTCTAGTGCCTCTCTTGGGGTGCCTGTGTCAGGCTGACCCCCTTCCTGGAGCACACCCACAAGCCTGAGGTAACCACTGTCACTACCCAGGGTCTGGTCTTTGTTCAGGCCCTGTGCCCCCTGGGGTACACAGGCCTTGTAGATCTTGAGGATGCTTGACCCACTGCAAAATCTTGGGGTGCTTCCTTTAACCTGAAGCACAGAAAGTAGCCTCCCTTAGTCAGCCAAGCAAAGGGAGCATACAGGCATGCCCAGTCCCTGTCAAGCATATACCACAAAGCTTGCTATAGTGGATAGCTTTACTGGATAGAGAGGGTAGGCTTGGGGAGGGGTACAAGTCAGAGAATATCAAAAGAATAACCCTGAGCAAAAAGAACTGGCCTGATAGCCATTTAATACACTTTTAAATTACTGTAAGCTACCTTTCTAGTTAAGTTTCTGGTAGTTTACTCACTTCAGCATCCTGGAAGAGAGAGAGTTGCAGAGGTTCAAGTTGCTGTGTAAAAGACCCAGCATGTCTCCCTCTCTTCCTGGTTAGCTTCTCTCTTAAATAGCCCTCCTGACCTCACTTTCTAGACCCAACCAGGGGAAGGTATTGTTTGATGCTGACCAACCAATTTGAAAAGCATCATACATTGACCTGGTCTCAAGCCCCTGCCCTCAAGTCATAAAGTCAGAGCTCAAAACAATAGAGGCTAGGTATACACCCTCTTACCTGATCCAGGTCATGTACACCGTAACCTGGGGCAACCAGGCTGACGGATAGGTGAGGAGACCAAGACAAACAAAAGGAAAAAAACAAAAAACAAAACAAAACAAAAAGCGGGAGTCTGGAAGAGGATTCTTCCACGCTGCACACCCCACTGCTCACTCCTGATCATTGGGGAGGCGAAAACCATGGTTTTAAACATGGTGTTGTTTCTGCCTCCTGGCCCAGAACTGGACACAGTACTCCAGCTGTGGCCTCACCAATGCCAAATTGAGGGGGAGAAGCACCTCCCTAGATCTATTGGCAACACATTATCTGATGCATGCCAGAGTTTTATTTGCCCTGCTGGCAACTTCATTGCACTGTTGGTTCATATTCATCTTCTGGTTGATTGTCACCCCCAGGTCCTTTTCAGATGCAGTGCCAGCCAGTGGACCACCACCCATTGTACAGTTATGATGAAGGTTCTTCCTACTCAGATGAAGGATCTGGCACTTGTCCTTATTGAACCTCATCTGATTGCGTTCAGCCCATAGGACGAGCCTGTCAAGGTCGTTTTGTGTCCTTACCCTGTCCTTACCCTGTCCTCAGATGTGTCCACCTTTCCACACAGCCTGGTGTCATCCACAGACTTAATCACTGTGCTTTCCACTCCCTCAATCAAGTCATTGATAAAGATGTTAAAGAGCATGGGCCAAAGCACCGATCCCTGGGGGATACCAGTGGAGATGGCCCTCCAGGATGTGGCCATCCCATTGATTACAACTCTCTGGGATTGGCCTCTGAGCCAGTTGCCAACCCACCTCATTGTAGACTGGTCTAGGCTAGTACCCTGTAGTTTAACTGAGAGAATCGCATGGGAAACAGAATCAAAGGCCTTGCTGAAGTCTAGGTAAATGATGTCAACCTCATGTCCCTTGTCCAGCTGGTTAGTTACCTGGTCATAAAAGGACATCAGATTTTTCAGGTATGATCTACCTTCAACAAAGCCATGCTGTTTACTTCTTAATACCCCACCAGTTATGAGCTTGTGATTGATAGCCTCCTTGACAATTTTTTCAAAGATTTCTCCCAGGACTGAAATCAGACTGACCTGTCTATATTTTGCAGGGTGATCCCTCTTCCCTTTGTTAAAGATGTGCACAATGTTAACCCTCTTCCAGTCATTTGGGACCACTCCCAAGTTCCATGATTCTTCAAACAGCTTCACCAGAGGCCCTGCTATGAGCTCAGCCAGTTCTTTCAGGACTCTTGGATGAAGGTCATTTGGCGCAGCAGACTTGAAAATGTCCAAATGTTCTAAGAGTACTCTCACCTGTTCAAGACTGATTTCATGTGGACTGTTGTCTTCCCTATATTCCTTGGGCCTCTGGACAGGTGAACAGCTCCTGTCTGATTTCAGGAATACTGATGTGAAGTAAGTATTTAGGAGCTCTGCCTTTTCGCAGGGATCAGCTGTGGGCTTCCCCTCCATATTCAGTAGGGGTCCCACACTGGAGCTTGATTTTTTTCTTGCTACCTATGTACTTATAGAAGGACTCTTTGTTGTCCTTTATTTCAGTTGCCAGCTTGATCTCCATTCCTGCCTTGGCTTTCTTTGTGTCATACCTGCAGACCCTGGCCATATGAGTGTACTCCTCTCTGGTTGATGAACCATTTTTCCATTGATTATGATTCCTTTTTCTTTTTCAAAAGATCTCTAATATCCCTGTTGAGCCAAGCAGGTCTTCTGGCCCCTTTCCCACTTTTTGACTGTGTAGGGATGGCCTCTTTTTTGAGTAGTGAGAATTGCCCCCTTAAGGAAGCACCACCGTTCCTGAACCCCCGAATCATCCAGTCACTGGTTGTGGAGGGCCTCTTTAACGACTCCTGAGTTTACCGAAGTCTGCCCTTCTGAAGTCTAGTTCTACTGACTGAATTCCCTGATGGTGAACATAATCAGATCGTGATCACTATCACCCAGAGTACCTCCAATCTTCAGGCCGTCTACCATGTCTTCCCCTTTGTCACTGTTCACTGCTATAAGGACCTAATCTACTGTTGTTTAGGCATGTAACTAGCATCCTTGCTCTAAATATGTACATTTTTGTTTGTGTAAAAGATATGCTGAAACACAATTGGGCTCCTTCTCTAGACAGCTCTGCATCTAGCACAGATGAAGGCAAACTTAGGATAACAGTTGGGGTATGGGACAGTGAGGGCTCTACCTAATGGTGTCTTCATGGAAAGTCAAAAGGTTCAAAATTGAAGCTACTTTTGAAAAGTATTTTTATTGCCCAGCAGATCCTGAGCAGTGGATCTGCAATCTGCAAACCAGGAGCTGCATTTTCACTTGTGTAATGAAGAGACCTACTGGGTAATCCTAGGGGCTGAATTCTTTTTCACAGCTTTATGCTCTGCTGCCTATTTCACCTGTCTTCTCCCAAGAGAGCAGGGTATTTGGACTTTTCATTTCACACACAGCAATGGAGCAGATGGATAGAGCAGAGGTATAGTTTTTGGGGGGCCATGTACACATCAACTCAAATTGGGACACTGTAGCAGGGCACTAAGGTTCCTGCTACTTGTAGAGCGGAGATAAACACCCAGGTGCAGGTTGCTAGGACAAATGAAGGAATTGGCTGCACCTGCACCTAGTCAGCAGGCTGGAGAAGGCAGGGCCTTAGGCCCATATAAACCCAGGGCTGGGACCAGAGAGGGCAGTTCCCTGCCAGCAGTTAAGGGGGAAGGAGTTCTCCCAGAGCAAGTAGAGGGGAGAGGCCTGATTGCAGGTACAGCCCTGATACTTGGGGAAGGATGGAGCACCCCTGGTGTGGCTAGAATAATGTTATAGCCAGGTGGCTAGAATTTGTTACAGCCCAGAGGCTTGTTTTTTGATTTACTGTTTGAGAACTGGTGGCTTCAGAGAGGCTATTAGGGGATGGAGGAGGCCTCATTAGGGGGTCCATGGCAGTGTGGGGCCCCGAGTGCCCAGAGAGGGTGCAGCATTAGGGGTGCTCTGGCCCTGAGCACCCAGCCCGAGACAGGGCTGTGGAGGGCCCGAGCGCCCAGCGAGGGTGCAGTGCGAGACCGAGGAATGTCAGTTCCATCTGCAAGGCTTGGGGTGTGGTAAAGGGGTGGTTGGAGCCATGCATTGCCCATAAGGCGTGGGTGCCCTGAAACACCCAATACAGGACAGGGCCCACAGGGCCGCAGGAGCCCCAGGGCCAATGTACAGCCAGAAGACCATGTCCAAGAGGACAGAAAGGCAGCCTCCCGATTTATATATTGTCCATCAAAGACATGGTGGGAGAGAATTGAGGGTGCCCTTTAGGCTAGTTTGGCACAGTAAGGGGGCCTTGAGGGAGATCACGGAGACCCCTAAGACACAAGGCTGTTACAGACACCAACTTGAGTAATGAACCCCATTCTACAAGACCACTATATTGTACATTCATGTTTCTTTCCTTGATTAGGACATATTGACTGTTGTTAATAATGGAGAGCCTGGCTCTGCCGCTTCTTGACTTTGTCATGGGTTTGACATTAAGTGTTGCTACTGTGACCACACACCTGTTATAGGGACATACAGATAAATTCCTGTGCATGATGTGACAAGTATTAATAGATGATGTACTGCCTGAATGGTTACATTTAGTATCCATAACATAGGAGCATCCTTAGCTACAGAGTGTCCTTACTGGCTGAGAATTAGTTACAGTTAAGTCCTAATGATTTTCTTATCGCTGGCTGCAATATTCTCTTACAACCTGTGGTAACCGTTTGCCAGGGAAGCAGCTGAAATTGATGTTTTCTTTTCTATTCACGGGCAGGAAGTTTGCTTGATGGGGATCAATCTAATAAGAAGTCACTTGCCAATTTGACATCTCACTTTGTGCCTCTGAAATGGATACATCAATGAGCTATGGTCTGCTTGCAGACAGTTGGAACAGAGCTCAAGTGTGTTGCCAGCTTTCAAAATGGAAACAATGGCTGGTGTGAAAGGGCTGCCTTTCTCTGACAGTTACAGCTGTTAGAGTAAAACCTCCTCATCTGAGGCACTATTGTGTGGCAAGGATGTATGATCTTATCAAGGAAAGGGAAACAATTATGTCAGAATTCTGTAAACAGAATACCGGTCATGGTGTGAAATCCAGATTGGGGCACTGGCTGTTTTTTTTCACTTTTTTTTTTTGCAGACATCAGTGTGCTGAGTGCTGAATGGAGTCCGCCTCTGAATCAAGGCAGCTCTAAGGACGTGCGTCAGTGGGAGGAGGGAGGACCCATAGGACTTCAGAGTTTTCATCATGTGGCTGGTCTTTGGTTTGGGTATCTTAGGCTGAATGACACTAACAGAGAGAGAGCACCTGCTTCATTCAACATGAATAACTTCATGTTAATGAGGATTTTGTTGTTTAATCATGCTGATCAGGATAGTACTTGACAACCAGCCAGAGATTCCCATCCCTGAACAGTCAAAGTAGACAACCCAGATATGGGTCAAGGGCATATCACACAAGCACAGCAAACAATGCCATAGTATCACAGAAGAATAGGGCTGGAAGGGACTTCTGGGGGTCATCTAGTTCACCTCCTGCCTGAGGCAGGATCATCCCTATCCAAACCATACCATACAGATTCTTGTCTAACCTGTTACTAAAACTATAATCAACCCTGCAAGACCTAGCACCCTAACCTACCATGAGTAAAGCAGGGGAACAATGGTGCTCAGTGTCTTGCTGCTCTAGGATTGTTAAAATATACCTGAGAGATCCAAAGAAGAGGACTATGCCCCCCACTAGAGAGGAAGGCAAAAACACTGATGGTCCATAACAATCTAGAGCCGTGGTAAAATTCCTTTCTGATCCCAAATGTTATGGGAGCAAATGTCATATTAGTTCTATATGTTTTTTGTGGGGGTGAGTTTGGTGCAGAAGCCAATCTATTATTTTGTGGCTTCTTTCTAAAAGACATTGACTGTCTCCTGGAGAGATGCTTAGCTGCCTTGATCTTCACTGGAGCCAATGGGATTTGAGGGTGCTCCATATCTGTCAGGTAGTGCATAGTGTTTTGGGCCTCAAACTGATATTTTCAACTGATAGTACAATGTGTGTCTCCACAGGCAGCACTGATATGATTTTTTTACGTATAAATGTATACGTGGAATCATAGAAAATTAGGGTTGGAAGGGACTTCAGGAGGTCATCTAGCTGCACCCCTTGCTCAAAGCAGGACCATCCCCAACTAAGCCTTTTGAAATATTTTTTTTTTATAGTTGGTGCCTCTTCTTGAGGGTTGATTTCAAAACAAGGACTTTTATATTTTTTTTTTTATTCACAAAGGGCCTGGTCTAAAGGTGACCTCAGTGTACCTGAACAAAGTCTAAAGACACTAAGATAAATAGACAAGGAGAAGATGGTACACCTGCACATAGCCAGTCAGGCACCAGTTCATGGCATTTTGGGATACTAGTTGTCACTGCCCCGGAG